GTTAAAGTTTACACTGTGAACAAAGCTGATTATACTCCCGATACTGGAAATGTGAAGGTTACAGTTAGCGCATACTTAACTACAACTTCGACTGCAGCAACAAGTAGGCTTGCAACATTTTTTATTTTGGCTATCTTCACTGTTGATTATTGAGTATTAATCGGTTTGCTTTTAAATTTCCTCCCTTTTTCCCCTCTAGCAACGGCGCCTCAAGGCGGTGAGTTCTGTTCTTCATCGAGAATGTATAATGAATCTGCCTTTCAAACTGCTCAAATTCCCACTAATTAGATTTAGCTAGTAAATAACCCCATTTCATTTTACTTTACAGGGAAATATGCCGTAACTTTTGTCGGCAAAGTCTATGATTCCACTGGAAATCCGGCTATATACAAGCCATCTCATGCCACGTTCGGATCTGCTGCGTTCAACGACGCTGAAAAAGATATCTGTGACTTTGTATGTTGCCGTTTAAAGCTAAAAATAATAGAAAACAAAATTATAATAATTATAGTTTTAGGCAACTTCTACAAATGTCGACATTAATTTTCTTCCAGATAAAGATAGCTTCCGCGCAGAACAAAAAGATCAACGACGGCTTTTTTGGCTGTAGAGTTGGTTCACTGAAAAATGGCTCGCTCGTAGTTACCTTGGTGGCAGATTATAAGATGGCAAGTATCCCGATCCTCACTAACCTCCAATTTGCTGAGGTTATCAAAGCTTTACTTACCAGCGCACCCAAATCGTCTAATCTCAATTATGATCTGAAAGCTAGCATCTCCGGTATGTCAACTGTCTTAAAGTGGTAGTAACTTTATTTGTACCAGATTTTTTACAAGCCAACTCATTATGAGGCTTATGATAATTAAGAAAAGCATGGAAAAACTGCATATATTTGGTATTTGCTTGTCATATTTTTTCAATCAGAATATGAAGGAAAATACATCATTTCTTTCAAAGAATATCTTAAGGATTATTTATTTTTTATTATTTTACTCTATAGAGCAACTGATATGCTATTCTCTACTATAACCAAAGCTA